TTTTTAAGCCACCTCAAGACTTAATAAGCTCTGGCCCTGGGCTTGGATGGATGTCACCAGAGAAAAGAAGCTTGAATTCTGACAGTCTTATATGTTCAACAGTCAACGTTTGGAAAGGAGTTACTACAAAAAACTCAATTACGACTGACATCTCAACATAGCATTCACAACCTGGGTAGCTTGCTACATATAACAGTATTCTAACACATTCACTTAGCACCATAAAACTTGTAACGTTTTGGTTCAAACACGCCATTCGTATACAGAATTTATTTTTCAGTACTGCCGATAACCCCATATCTCAGCTGCATACATATAAGAATGTGTTTTACTGCTGAATCAAATAGTTTAAAGGCTTCGTTGTGGTGGAAAAAACCAAAACATGACTGACATCTCAGTATAGCATTCACGGCCTTGGTATAGCTTGTAGTGACAACTGCTCAGTAGTTTTAGTCCACGATAGGCAGGTTGTGAACATTATATTATACATCTCCGTTGTCCATTTCTAATAATGACTATCTTCTTATTTCCATTTTTGTCAAATAATACGTAATTCTTCTTAAAACTCTAATATTTTTTGATGTCATCATTATGATAAATATTTCATGTGAACCCAATTCCCAATTACAAATATTCAATAAGAAATTATCCCTTAGCTCGCTATATGGAGGACATTCTAACAAGAAGTGTCTTTTGCACTCGACTACCTCCCAATTACAACACTGATAAATTTTCTGATCCCTAGAATTACCACTATGTCTACCTTTTTCAATTTCAAGTTGATGATTTAAACATATGAATCGTGCGAAAACTGATATAGTTAGTTAAATTTTATTCCCACTTACAAGTATTACATTACACGGGCAAAGCATTATTACATGTGGTTTTGACCATTTGACTTTTTTCTTTAATATTTAGTGAAACAAATTTTTTAAACTCTAGCTAACAGTGAAGGGACACGTCAGGCTCTGCTAGTATGCTAGTATAAGTTTATTGGGCATCGACATCCTTACTCCCAGTAGGATCTTAAAAGTTGACAAGTACATAACGTTGGCTGACATAGCACCACCAGACAGCCATGCCTCACTGCTGTACAATATCGAGCTCAAGAGAGCGGCTTTGAGCACTTTCCACTTTACTCAAAATGGAGAGTCCTGGTTCTTCTGTATGAATGCAGGGAATTTGCATAAGTGTGATTGCTTGTTTAGTATGTGTTCTTTCACAGAGGTAGACACTTTGCCATCCTGGCTAAACACAGCGCCAAAATAAGTGTAACCGAGTATCACAACAAACGTCTACTGCATCTCAGAAGTATCAGCTTCTTTATTCCTGTACAAACATATGCACCAATGTGACAGTGTGAGTAAAATGACCCCAAGAATACTGTTGAGCGGGTAATTTATATTTCCCAACCACGTGACTAACAAAGCTCACGTGACTGCCAAAAGGGCGGGAATGCTTTCGTAATAATGTTTAACCCTATTACACAAGTATACAATTCACAATTTTCCACTTTAAAACCTGGTACATGAATCGTCTCTCGGTCGCTTGCGTTGCCATTGATTACCATAAACTGTCCTAAGAGCAGGATAGACTGAAAATAAAATATAAGTATCAGAGAAATAAATTGACTAAATTAACTGTAATTACACAAACGATCAATAAAGTAATCAGTATGCCACTCGGGGGCGTCTCGAAAGTCCGAAGGTTCATTGGTCCGAAGGTTCATTAGTCCGAAAAGTGGTAACATTTTTATGGATTTTTTTATCAAGGGTTCATTGGTCCGAAGGTTCTATAGTGAACATTCGGACCAATGAACCTTCGGACTATTGAACCTTCGGACTATCGCTACGGCCCCTGCCACTCAGTCTCCTTTTTAACGTAAAGCTTGTTATTATACCATATTTGCATATGGATGAACTTTAATATATACTCAAGGAAAAAAGAAACGCAACATTTGAATTTTCAAAAATTCCCAAAAAATATGGGTGCATTTGGAAAAATGGCTTAGCATCATGATTTCACTCTAAATTAGGCTGAAGACAGGTTAACAGATTTCTTGGTTCTGCTTGACTGATTGTGAGGACAATAAAGAGTGCATTTCTGGATTTTTTATGCACACAAACTCATGTTTAAAACTCAGAGTTGAGTTTTACCACTGGTTAACTGTGCTCAAGCCTTCTCTATTACCAGAATGAAGCCCCCGTGTAACGACCCCTGCAACAGTCTGGTACATCTCTGTGACAGGTTCCGACCTGCCACCAGGTCCGCAGCCGAGACCACTGGGACACACCACAGGTCAGAGTCGGCCAGAACCATCCGTAATTGCCTCCGTGCAAATTCCCTGCATTCATACAGAAGAACCAGGACTCTCCATTTTGAGTAAAGTGGAAAGTGCTCAAAGCCGCTCTCTTGAGCTCGATATTGTACAGCAGTGAGGCATGGCTGTCTGGTGGTGCTATGTCAGCCAACGTTATGTACTTGTCAACTTTTAAGATCCTACTGGGAGTAAGGATGTCGATGCCCAATAAACTTATACTAGCAGAGCCTGACGTGTCCGAAGACAGTACTCACCCCCCAACATCACCAAGCTCGGGTCGAATGGTGCACTGCACATCATCGTTGGACTTTGCAGGGGTGGTCTCAAGTCGTGTTCAGTGACGAGAAAAGGTTCCAGTGCTTCAGAGCAGATGGCCGATATCGGGTGTACAGGAGACGTTGGGAGAGGTATGCCGAACCTTGTGTGCGCCAAGTGAACCGGTGGGGCGGTCCCAGTGTCATGATTTGGGCAGCCATATAGGCAAATCACCAGACAGACCTGGTTTTCATTGAAGGAAAACTCAATTTTCTCCGTTATTGGGATGAGATCCTGAGGCCTTTGGTGCTACCTTTTCTGGACCAAGTTGGCACAGGAGCTCTATTCCAGCACGACAATGCGCAACTCCATGTGGCCCGTGTGTGCACCAACTTCCTGGAGGAGAATGACCTCCATATCTTGGCCAGCCATCAGTACGGACTTAAATCCCATTGAAAATGTCTGGGATCCACTCAGTTTGCATGTCCACCGACGTGAACATCCTCCCGAAACTCAGGAGCAGCTGACGGAGGCACTGGTGGAAGAATGGGCCACGATGCCACAGGATCAACTCAGACAGTACTGCCGATCCATGAAGCGACGAATAACCGCTGTCCAGGATGCCAACGAGGGGTCATGTGAACTATTGACAGTATGAAGCAATTCCTGCCACTTCTGGTTTGGGGGTGGGTGCTCCATTGTTTGGTTGTGTTATTGGACTCAGAAGTGTGTGAACGCTGAAAAAGTTTGCCTGAGGATTAGAAATGGATATAGGGTTTATATAAAACTGGCGGATTTCAAAAATAAAATTATTCTGCCTCCCAAAAACTCCCAAAACTGAGTGTTGCATTTCTTTTTTCCTTGAGTATATTTTCTTGCTTCTGTTAAGGTTAAACATTTAGGTTAATAAATGAAAGAACAGAGAAATATTAATGGAATCTCAGGAGACACTCTCAAAAAACATACTTATTGCAAATATGACATTTTGAAACTAAGCAAATTTATAACTATGCACCTTGTCTTCTGATGATGATGATGTATATACTGACCAAATTATTTAATGTTTCTTGAATGTCCAGATTTTGATGTCAGTCTTGCTTGTATGGGCTCAAGATGCTCTCCAAGCATTTCATGGCAGGCATTTTGTAAAAAGCCATGGTGATGTTTTATACATGGCTTCAATGCCAAAACACACCGAAGACATCTTCATGACCAAGACAAGTGGTTGACTGGACTGTCTTTTTATTTCCAGCACCTTTCTGTACAACATGGTGGCTTCAAGGCAACAGCTGGCTGCATGGACATGGCTTTTTACAGGGAACAGACAGTTAAAGACCAGCAAGAACATTCCTGTAGTCTTCACCTCATTCATTGATATGTAAAACGTGGGATGTGGCAAGTTATGGGACAATACAAGTGGGATTTACACAGCCAGAGATGGGACGGCAATCTTGAGGATGGTAATCATTAGAATATTACAGTAATATATGACTGTCAAATAAATTGTAAGGTCTACTCGGAGGGAACCAACAAATTTTTTCTACAATGATTCTTTTCTTGACTCCAAAGTTTGAAACAATTTATGATCTCTTGCAACTGTAATGTTTTGTCATTTTAACAGTGTCATCCAGTAATTAAGACGTTATACACATGAAGTGAGTTGTTTTCAAGTTGGTGAATCCATTATCGAATCCATTATCGATTTAAACATTAGCAATTAACTTCTGTTGAAAATACACTGAAAATCATGTAGCACAAAGTTACTTTTTCATTTAGCTAAAATGCTAAAATTTATGTTTTGAAAAATTGATATTATGTAGTATTTGTATCTAGTTTTTTCCTACTTCAAGGAGGTCCAACATGATTTGATAGTCTTCTTAGCAGAGGAGGAAGTTACATACAGAGAATTCTGGAGATTTTCAAGAGTGGATGCAGGTAATTTCAGTAGTTTGTCATTTTCCAGTTGACAAAAACCTATAGTTTCAATATTTAAAAACCTTGTTGTTTCAAATTGTTAGTGAGATGTTTGTGTGGAACATGTCTAGGTACATTGCCCTCTAAGGGCCCATTGGCAATGAAACCGCCATTCTACAGTGATAAATCCAACTTCATTGGGACTCTTGCTGAATGCAATCAGTGTAACAAACCTCTTCCTAGCACTGAGTAAAATACAGAAAAAAGCTGGTGATTATACGAGTTGGTAGAAACAGTTAAAATATATTTCACTGTGTGTTAATCTGATTGCATTCAGCCAGTGTCCCTGCAAAGTTGGATCACTCTACATAGAATGATAGTTGCATTGGGAATGTGCCCTAAATCATAATAGTGGGCAAGTCCACTTTTAAGTTTTTTTTTTTTTTTTGAATGAATGAATGAATGTATTGTGTTCATGTTTTGCTAACAAGAATTCTAATGGGGCGCTACACTATTTCCTTTTCAGCTGGCAGAAGAAAGGGATTAGATTTATCAAATATTTTGACTTTCATCATTGGACTGATGGACATGCAGCTTCTGGGGTTATGGCACCAACTGGTAGTCGCATTTTCTGTTACTACGGAATTCTTTTTGCATGCCCACAGAAAGTACTGGTTTTGTGTGCACGTGCATTCGAGCTTATGATTACCTTTACTAAAAGGGGAAAAGCACCTCAAAAACAACTATTTGATTTGTAGGACTTCCATGTAGCTTTTCTATCACTACACATATTATGGACTATGCTATTGAAGTCCCATACACTGACCATACTGTCAACGCTATATCTCTGTTAGCATTGGATCGAGATTATTATCACGTTTTAGTGCACTGGGAGNAATAATAATAATAATAATAATAATAATAATAATAATAAAAATCTTAATTGAGCACTAAAATGTGTACACATTACATTTTACAGGCTCTCTACACTAGTCATAACAACTTAAGAACAATTATACAAATCTATACAAATACATGTACTTATGGAATGATTACTGGGAAACAGCACAGAATAAACGACTATTGCTATTGATGGGTGTGTTTTTTTTTTTTTTCTAACTTTCAGTTATATATATAGATGTAATATTCTCAAGCACGGTTCACTTTTTGGACTGAGCAGCCACTGAATTTTTTCATGATCCCTTTTCTGCTCAGGAGGTATCATTAGTCTACTTCTTCTGTTACTATGTTCTTCACATTTCATTTTTATTGAATTAATGCAATTTTTGTGAAATTCTCATTTTCTCATTTTCAAAGTGTGAACTTGAACTCGCGTGGGTCTGAAGCCTTTACTCTAGGTTCTAGATTTCGGTATTGCCAGCTCAATCTTGATTTCATATACAACATTGGTCAAAAAGGTTGTCCCACCCCCATTTCCATGTACTGGTTGTGCTCATAATTCGCGCGACAATCCGTATGCGTATACTCCATGTACGTATTAACTCTGTACTCACGCCCCCTGAGAGACAATGGGTTGTTTTGATAAACTACAAAAGCCTGTGCGGGTAGCAAACAATAGCGACGTGGACTCATACAGGGCCTAAGCGCACAGGGGGAGGAGCGCATATGTAAATTATTGTACGGGCGACCCTTGGAGACGGGAGTACTTTTATTTACAAATGATCACCTCACAGCTGTGAACTGTTAGAAAAAGTGCTTTTTATTACGGATACAGTGTCTCATATGATTAATGGTTAAAAAAAAATTCAAAATAGTGGTGAAAATATACACATTTTATACCATTTATGGCGTCTTTTCAATTTTATAGACATTTCTTTACATCTGTAGAAGTCACATTAAACAGTCGATTTGAGGGGGTACCTCTTATAAATTTTACTAAATGGTATAAAATATGTATATTTTCACCACTATTTTGTATTTTTAAAACCATTAATCACGTTAGACACGGTATCCGTAATAAAAAGCACTATTTCTAACAATTTACAGCTGTAAGGTGATCATTTGTAAATAATGGTACATGGAAATAGGGGTGGGACAACCTTTTTGACCAATGTTGTATGTAGCCCACATGCATTAGCAATACCGACTCTAGCCACCACCGGCATACTGGGGGCGTGTTCGGCAAAATTTTGCTTCCATATTTGGAAATCATTTGTCTCGTACGTCACAGCTTTGTCCCGTCTTGGGCTGTCTTTCCCGCCTTGAGCTGACGTCATCTCGTGCAGATGAGACAAAGAACATATCTATACAAAAGCATAGAAGTTTTCTCTACTTCTATGATAAAAGCAAAGTGGCTAATGCGGAATTTGAACTTTGAACTCAGAATACCTTGCCACAATACAAGCACCTTTCTGCTTTAAAAGCTGATTTATAATCTGCAGAAGCGACTGAAGAATGATTTCTTGGTGTAACCATTGCGCACTCCTAACAGCGGTATCGGCCATATCTCAAACGTGGCACACTGCAAGCACGTGTGTTTTGTTTATATTTGCAGGAACAAATGTTTTTTGATAAGCAATAATTAACAAACAAAAACATATGGAATTTCTATAATATAAAAATATATTGATTTTTTTCTCAATTAAAATCTTAAAAACAGAAAATAAAAGTAAATAAAGCAAAATTGAATCCTTTTTCTTTTTGGATAAATGACATTCAAGTGCATATTCACAGCAGAGCAGCTTCTTTGATTGACGGATAGGCCTACTTAAAGTTGCCGCTATTTTTCAGGGGCACTTTTATGGTGAACACATATGAACACTTCAATTTTTAGTGCCCTGACACTCAGGGCAGAAGCCTTATGCGGGTTACATAGGCCAATATATTTTACTTACACCCGTATGAGTGGTGGATTTAGGGGTGGTATTACCTAATGTACATAATAATATTTTATGTTGTCTTTCCAGTTTAAAAGCAGTGTAGGCCTACTATTGCATCAGAACTGATAGTAGCCTATTTTGTGCTACTGTATTTATAATTATTTCGTGCTTTTTAAGGTCCTTTTTTCTGTACATTTGATAGCGGTGCTGCCTTGTTTTTAAATGCTGTTTAAACCAATCCATTTCTACAACTTGTGTACTTTACCCTTCGAAAACGTGTGTTCTATCAGTTCATTTCCCGAACAATATGTACCTGTATCTTCCAGTTCTACGCGTCCTTTGAACCAGCATTTGTTCTAGCAAAAAAATAAAAAATAATAATAATAAATAATATGAGTTCCATCGTTGTGTTTGGTCTGGCTTTCTGCCATTTTTTTTACTCAAACTAAAGCGTTGTCGAGCAGGTAGAGGTCGATTGTAGTGCAGTGAGAGAAAATTAGTGCTGTTTTCCATTTTTTCCTGGTATTTTTTGTGTGTTGCTAAGGTTAATTTTGGTGTCAACTATAGCAGGCTAAGATGTAAAAAAAAGGCCTTTTTCAGGCACAGGTGTCGTGCAGTGTGAGACCTCTGGCGGAGGGAGCTACTGACTGCAAGTTGTGCAGTGGCCTAGCTATTGTTTGGGCACTCGGCTCACCGTCGATTGATTCCTGCGTCATTATATCTCGGCCGTATGACAGACGTCGCCATTTTGGATGTAGTGCAAACTACTCTATATACCCGATTGTAAACAATAATAAACATGGCGGCGCCCTGACAGGACATTCAGAACTCCTCGACAATATCCTCAGTGTTTCCAGTTGTTTTTCACGTAAATTGAAGTCTTGATCTTTAAAAAGTGGGCAGGAAGATAGTGCATATTCAATACATATTCGTCGAATGACGCCATATTTGTTAGATCCACGTGTTTTGGGGGAACTATATTGTTTTGATTGCGGTATACATTAGTGATGCGGCG